AAAATTAAAGAGGCACTCCGACCAAAATTTTTATTGCATCAAAATGTGTTAAAAGTTATCTATTTTCCGAATATTATTGCGAAAAAATTCAAAAAAAAATCCGAAATTCCCGAAAAACGGCGTTGAAAAAGAAAAAAAAATCAAAAAAGGTGCCGCCGGGGGACGAGGATTTTCAGTGAGAAACCTAGGCCACGGCAGCGGGCGCCTTTCCTACGTGGCAAATTTTCCGGATTTTTTTCAATTTCATGTCCAGCAGGTAAAAAACGTAAAAAACCACTGTCGGCGACTTGAAAAAAAGGCTGTCAGGTGCCGTGGCCTAGGTTTCTCACTGAAAATCCTCGTCCCCCGGCGGCACCTTTTTTGATTTTTTTTCTTTTTCAACGCCGTTTTTCGGGAATTTCGGATTTTTTTTTGAATTTTTTCGCAATAATATTCGGAAAATAGATAACTTTTAACACATTTTAATGCAATAAAAATTTTTGGTCGGAGTCCCTCTTTAAGTAAAGTTCAACACACTTAAATTATAAATAAGTAGCTTTAAAAACTGCTGAAATTCCAGATCTCATGTGAAATTTGTGGCCAACACGGATCTCGATGATCTAGCCGTCTCCTCATCCCTTAACATTTCCGATTTTCTAGAAAATGCCTCCGTAAGACATTCAGATGCAGCGCAATTTAAAGTCGACTGGATTCTAAGTCATCAGCCGGTAGGTTTTAGAACCGCGACGTTTTGAAACCAGACAGGGTAAGTTTTATGATTTTTCAGCAAAACTGGGATCCTATCAAGAATCCGAAAGATGTGAATTTCGTGCTTCAATCGGTTCGAGTTCTCAAAATCGCCAATATCAGATATGACTATCGAGTCTCCAAAAAGATGTTCCACAGGCCGGAAAGGGTAATTCACTTTGTTGATTTATTGATTTATCGATTTTCTGTTTTCAGGTAACGAATTTCGATATGCACTCAGTGTATCGAAACGAGTTGGCTGGTAATCGCAATCAGCAATATACCACTGTTGAAATGTTCGACAATCCGGATTTGTATTTCTTGCATTTGAGAAGATTTGAGAGACATTTATTGAATCCGTTGCCAGTGGAGTTCAATAATAACTTCAATGGGTCGTTGTTGATGAAATTGAATACAAGGATGTTGGATCAGTTGGCAAAGAGGATTGATAGGACCGAGTTTGCCGGTAATTTTCGTGAATTTTCAGAAAATATGAAATTAGAGGAAAGTTGCAAGGGTTTCAATCTCAAGCTGGTGCCAGAAAATAAAAATTTCGCAATTTTAAAAACAGGGCAAAGTAGCATAAAACTTCAGCTTTTCAGTGATATACAACCTAGTTTTTCAAAATTTTGGGTTTCTAGGCCATCGAATTAAAAAGTGCGCAAATGTTATCTTGCTCCAGAACTTGGAATGCTCATAACGTTCTTCAAAATGAAGTTTTTGCAACTTTAGAAACAGAATTGAGTAGCTTAGAATGTTAGCTTCTCACTAATATACAACATGACCTAGTTTCAAAATGGGCAGGTTTCTAGGCCACCAATCGAAAACTTAGTTGTGTCGATCTCAACTTGAAAAGGGAAGACCGAACTTCAAATGCATGTAACTCTCTTCAAAATAAACATTTTGCAATTTTGTAACCGTCAAAAGATAGTTTTTTTTCTTGGCTTTGTTTTTATGTATTATAAGACCTAGCTTTGGAATTAGCAGGTTTCTAGGCCACCAATCCAAAATTTAGGTGCTTCGATCTCAAACTGAACCAGTGAAGCCTAACTTCAAATTCTTATAACTCGCTTCAAAATCAATATTTTGTCATTTCGTTGACATCAAAAGATAGCTTATCTTCTTGGCTTTGTTTTGATGTATAACATGGCCTAGCTTTGAAATACGCAGGTTCCTAGGCCATCGAATTTGAAAGTGCGATACTTATTCCTAAAATTTGGTTTGTTCATAGCTTCCTTCAAAATACAGCTTTTGCAATTCTAAGAACAGAATTGAGCAGCTTAGAACTTCAGCTTCTCATTGAAATACAACATGGCCTAGTTTTGAACTGCGCAGGTTTCTAGGCCACCAATTCGTTTAGGTGTTTCTATCTCAACTTGAAAAAAGAAGAGCCCAAACTCCAAAGGCGCATAACTTGCTTCAAATTCAACATTTTCAAATTATGTAAGCATGAAAAGATAGCTTATTTTCCTAGCTTTGATGTGATGTACAATATGACCTAGTTTTCAATTTTCTCGGTGTCTAGGCCACCAATTCAAAATTCAGGTGTTTCGATCTCAATGGAAGGTTAAACTTCAAATGCTCACAAGTCGGGTCAAGATTAAAATTTTCAAATTTTATGAGTATCAAAACATAGCTTATATTATTAGCTTTATTTTGATGGCCTAGCTTTGAAATACGTAGGTTTCTAGGCCACTAGTTCCTAGGCCACAACTTTAAATGCTCATAACTCTGCTCAGAATTCATATTTTTTGAAATTTTTCAGAATCCCCACTAATCCCTTGGACCATGGAAGCCCGTCAAACAATGCGAGACCTGGAGCAGTGTCGTCGTGAAGCATTCGGCTCAATTCTGGATGATCAAAACCAAATGTGCCAACAAAGTTCATCGGGATGTGAGGGCATGTTGACAGCCGGTGTTCCATTCATTAAAGCCCCTCAAACATGGATCAATATTGCTCATAAGGCACTTTTTAATACCTATGTTGAGAAGACTGAAAAGTTTTCGTTGTTTAGCTAAAACGTTAGGTGGAACGAGTTTGTTGAAAATCCGGTGCTGCGGTTTTGCGGGTTGAATAAATAATTGTTTTGTATATATGGTAGATTTATGAAGCTATTTTTCAAAATTTTTGAATTATAACTTCACATCGTTGCGCAGCTTGTCAAGAGCTTCAAAATGAACCCAAGCACGACTAAGCATTTTGAAAATTTTAGAGTTTTAAGATTACTGTAGTTTTGGACCCGTAACTTTTAATTTCAATGGAATATAGACGTGTTTGGTATCATTTTAAAGCTCTTGAGCTAGCTAAAAAAATAAATAAGTCAACAAATAAAATTCGGAGCAATAAGCAAGTTATGAGCAATTTTCAGAAAATTTCAGTCAAAATTTCAGTCAAAAACGAGATTATTGTATTCTAGCAAAAGGAAATTCCCGATTTTTTGCTCGATTTTTTAAATTTGCTTCTATTAAAAAAATCCATTTTGAAGTTCTCTAAACCTCTTCTATTTTTGTGAGTCATCATAATTTATCTCTCTCTCTCTCTCTCTCTCTCTCTCTCTCTCTCTCTCTCTCTCTCTCTCTCTCTCTCTCTCTCTCTCTCTCTCTCTCGCATTTTATTTACACACTAAACGCAAAACTCGTCATTTTTTATTCTTATCGCTTCAGATTTTTTTTCGAAAATTTCCGAAAATTTTCGAAAACCATCTCAATATAAAAACCCGCCGCAAATAGAACCTGAAAGGCATCATTTTTATGATGAGCTCCATTTCTTCTCTAACCCGATCCCGCACGTCTTCTGATTCTTCAGAATCTTCGGATTCTCAGTCTTCAGAAACCCAAATCCTTCAACATCAGTCTGATAGCATTCTTCGCCGTCTAGACCGCATGGATTTTGGTAGAAGACGTTCCAGAAGCATTTCTGCTGGAAGTAGAAGACGTTCCTCCTCTTCTGCTTCCTCTTCTTCTGATTCATCCTCTTCTGATTCTTCTGACACATCTTCTGACTCCTCTTCTGACTCTTCTGATTCCCAAGAATCAGAATCCCATCAGCACGACTACGATTCTGACGATTCGTCTCCTTGTAGATGTCTTGAAGGCCTAGCCGCCTGGAGACGTCGTCATGGGATTCAGGTCCCACAGATTCGCGACGATAGACGTCGTCACGATTCATTTGGAAATGAAAATAATTCTAATCTCTCAGATTCAGATCTTTCCGACGCTGAAGCGAGAAGACGTAGAAGACAACGTGACCACAGACCTTCTGGAAATTTCAGAAACTACAGTAACCACCGTAACCACTTCTACTCTCCATACTCTCGCTCCTATCAGTGCCACAATTCTCCAAACGCTTCTTTTTTGTACTAATCAGTTGTGTTGTTTAAATTCTTTTTTCAATAAATGCATTTTAACTGAAAACTTGTTTTCTGTATTTTTGTTGAACTTTAATTTAAAAATCATAAGGAAATATGTTCGATTCGGATGAAAACCATCAAATAAGATGAGGACCAGTATAAAGATTGGCAACACATGATTTATTGAATCAAAATCTCTAAAAAGTTATTCCAAAAAGAAAATTAGGAAGTGATCGATGACTTGGTTGGCTTCTTTTTTCTTCAAATCGAAGATCCACGTTCTCAAACTGCTCGCCTTTGCATTTGAGCTCACTTTCTCCGTTAGGGTTCCAAGTCTTTCGATTTTATTGAAAATTTCAATGTTGTACTTATAAAGTGATCGATCGAAGAATTTGCTTCTCTAATTTCTTGCGACTCCTGAAAGCGTTTTCCAATTTTTACTTGAAGAATAGAGGCATTTTGTAAAACCTACTGTTCTGAGATCTGATCATTTGAAGGAATTTCCGTGGTTACTGTAGTTCCGCCGAAGCTGCCATCATAGCCTGAAAATGAAAATTAAGAGGAAATTTTAAGCGAACAGTCTCAAAAATCGCTTGAAAACTAATACAATTAGGGCATTTTGAAATAAATTTAAAAACAATTATTTTTGGAAAACCGATCATATGTCACTTCAATGTTTCCGGAACTTTCTAAAATTGCTCATTCAGAGCTTTTGAACAAACATGATTATGCTTGCATTACTATTGTTGAATGCTTGCGTTGAAATTTACGGATTACTGTAGTATTTCAAACAGTCTTGATTAGAAAAATTGATTTTAGTGGATTCCTATGCAAATTGGAAAAGGTACGGGAGATTTTTTAAAAAACTCACTTTTTGAATTTCAGAAAAAATCAAATCAAAATCTCGAGACCTCTATTAAGTAAAGGTTTCTTGAGATTTGATCATATAGAATTTTTTATAGAGATCCTAGAATATTTGAATAGCAGAAAAATCACAAAAATAGAGACTCCTAAACACGGAGTCCTAGAAACATTACGAATACGAAAAATGGCGGGATGAAAGTCATGCTAGGCTAGAGAGGAAAAGACCATTGAGAAATAGTATGGAGGGGAGAGGAGGCGCAGAGATACAGATTTTATTGGGGTCACATTAAGGTGCACACAGATCAATGACTGATGGGATAGCCATATTTCGAAATAGCCGGTCATTATGAAATTTCTATTTCAAAGGGGCCGCGGTGAACGAAAAGGGGCGGAGCAATACTAGTGAGAATCTTTCTTAACACGGTCCTTTCTTAATGAGAATCGTTCTAGTGATAGTTCACCTCAAGGTGGATCTAGCCTAGAGGGGATATTTATTAACGAGGATGTTAGTTAATGAGGTTCTTTCCTAGTGAGAACTTTTCTTAGTGAGAATTGTCTTAGTGAGGATCTTTCTGAATAAGGATCTTTCTTAATGAGAATCGTTCTTAGTGAGCATCTCGCTTGCTCGCTTAGTTAGTGCAGATTTCGCTTCGTGAGAAACTATTTTCGGGTCGACATTTCCCAGTGAGAATTCTTCTTAGTGAGGGTCATTCTTAGTGAGGAATTTTCTTAGTGGGAACTTTTCTTAGTGAGGACCTTTCTTAATAAGGATCTTTCTTACATTAGTGAGGGTCATTCTTAGTGAGGATGTTTCTTATAGTTAGTGAGCATTTTTCTTAGTGAGAATTTTCTTAGCTAGAGGACCTTTCTTAATAAGAATCTTTCTTAGTGAGAATGTTTCTTAAAGGTGGGTAGACAGGAGATTTTTCGTAGTTTTTTTGTATCTAGAGTATGCATTCTACCGTAACGGTGTACAACGCTTAATGTCACTCTGCGTACAGCTGTCGTTTTCGCTTTTATGTATGCAATCCGCTTTCTCTTTGCCCGCGTGGCTCAGTCGGTTGCGGCGCCGCACCCTCAATCATCGCCCTCACAAGTTCAACTCCTCGAGGGGCATCTTTGAACGGAATTTCGAGAACATTATTTTTTTCATGTCCCCCAACCTTTAATAAGAATATTTTTCCAGAAAAAACCACTTCATTAAAAAAGTTCAAACTAAATTCTCCTTTTTCTTTTTTCCATCACTTTTCAATTTCCTCTGCTGCTCCTCCAACTTCTTCTGCTCGCCAATTAGCATCTTTTTGGACTTTTTCAAATTTCGATTCTTCATAAAATTATTCAAATAATACGCGGAAATCCCAATAAAAATACAAAGGAATCCCAGAATCGCCAAACCAATTAGCGTGCTTAATTGAAATCCAATTATTAGAACTCTGAAATGTTTTAATTAATTAATTGATCTCTTAATTGTATAACCCTAATTACCTCTCCCCTGACGATAATGTGAAATCCATATAGCGCATTTTGTGAGATTTGGCGGGAAATTTCAAATTTTCAAAAATTACACAAAAAAAAACACGTACACAGAGAATATTTATTTTTAAACATTTTTATTTAATTAATAATAATCATAATAATAATTTTGAAAAAAAAATAATTTTTTTAAAATTTGAAAAAAAAATATTTTTTTTGGTAATAATCCACGTGGACGTGCTTCTTTTCTCGTTGGAGTACGGGTGGTCCGAACTGGGGTACGGTGGGGGCGGGGCGAAAGACCTGGGCGTGGCGAGAGCCCCGGGCTGGGCGAGAGGCCGGGACGTGGAGATCGTGGGGACCTGAAATATAAATTTTTGAATTTCCTATGAAATTTCCGTCATTTTAAATCTAATATCACAAAAATCGGTTGAAAAAAAAATGAAATTATAGCGTTTTGAAAAAAAAAATTTTTTTTGGGACACAGATCATATCTCGGCTAAACATTTCTGAAATTTTTTGAAAACTAAAAAGTCAGAAATTGCTCATCAACAGCTTTAAAACGAGTATAATCATGACCTAGTTTCGTTGAAACTGTCGGATTACTGTAGTTTTCGTGGCGGGACCCACATTTTAGAAAGTTCTCAAAACTAGTTCATGAGTATACTCATTTGAACCGCCTTGATTTGAAAAATTGAAATATGCTAACTTTATAGAATTGCAGCTCAAATTCAAAATGTTACGGTAGATTTTTCATCCAAAATCCGAAATTTTAGATCCCCAAAATTTCAAAGCCTCATAACTTGGCCAGTTTTCAACAGATTTTTGTGATTTTTGACTTAAATTGTTTCTCTGAAAATTTGCGGTTTTTTCTAATACAACTTTCATTAATTTCGGCTTTCCTAGAGCAACTACGCTCCAACGAACCTTGCCGACGGAGACACTCCTGGACGACCTGGAGACACTGCGTTCAGTTTTGGAGATCTCTGCTGATCCACTTCTTCCTCATAATCAATATCCTCATCGACGTGTTCAGAAGAAAAAGCGCCACGTTTTTTCAGACAACAGAGCACAGGACCAATGATTAGGGCTCCGAGAAGCACGATGACTCCAAGTGTGATGAGCACGGCGGACCAGAAATGAGAACTGCAATTTATTGAAATATGAGACAATGAAGAATAAAAGAAGTTTCAAAATTTAGATTTTTCTTAAAATTTGGAAGATTTTAAGCTGAAAATCATCAAAATTCGTTGAAAACTAGCCAAGTTATGGGAAACGAAAAAAACAAAATTTTCGAAAAATTATTTTCTGGAATTTTCAACACAACTTTTTGAGATTACCTCCAAACTTTTGGAAAGTTACATTTTTCGATTTCTCGAGTCAAGACGCTTCGAATGAGTATAAACATGACCTATTTTCCAAAAATTTGGATCCCACCACGAAAACTACAGTAATCCTAAAACTTCTAAAAACTAGGTCATGTTTATACTCATTTTAAAGCACTAGACGAGGGGAGTTCGAAATTTCTATTTTCAGACACTTCGGAGCAAAATAGAATGAGATGTGAGCAATTTTTCGTCAATTTCCAACCGATTTTTGCGTTTTTTTGCACAAAAAATATTTTTCAAATTTTTCAAGATTACTGTACCCCTGGTTTTCAGGTTCCAGTGTCACTGGTTTTGATTTTGCGCGGATCGTAGCCGCTTGGCTCATAATTTTCGCATTATGCTCTGAAATCTCTTGGGCAATGGTCCGGAACAATGAGTAGGTGTCATTCCGGATGATTTCGTATACTTCTGAAATTTCAGATCTTTGGAGAGGAATTTGAGTGGGAAATTTGAATTTGGTGCTATTTTTTTGTCTAGAAAGTGTTTTTTTTTTGAAACAGTTTTCGGTTTTCAGAAAAATCTCAAATTTTGAAATTCCAAGCCACGCCCCCTTTTTGGGACTTACTGCTCATGTCGCCGGTTATTCTGAATTGAATGACTGAAAATTGAAAATTTTATAGGATTCTGGGAAGAAAATGAATATTCACAAGTTTTCTATATGGTTGGATTTATCTGAAAAAATCTCAAAAAAAGTTTTACGTGAGAATGGTTACTGTATTTTACTGTATTTTTGGTTACTGTAGGGAACTTTCTGAAACTGAAATATCCCCAAATTACTCAGTGAGAGCTTCAAAATAAGTATAGTCATGACCCTTTTCTCTGAAATTGTCGGATTACTGTAGATTTCGTGGTGGGATCCAAAAATTTCAAAACTAGGTCATGATTATACTCATTCGAACCGTTTTGACTTGAGAAATTGAACAATGTTTGTTTTATAAGATTTCAATTTAAATTGAAAAAGTTACGGTAGATTTTTATACATCACCAGCCTGTTTGCCGCGCCACTGGCGCTTCAATAAACTGATGATTTCTGATAGCACGACGAGTGGAGTACGGAGTATTGGTAAAGGCATTGGACAGGGGGAGACAGATAGATGGTTCGTAAGAGAGAAAGTGGGTGGGAGGGAATAGGTTACTGTAGATGAGATCTGGCCCGAGGAGCATTGGAAATGGCGTGGACTATCCTTCCCTTGAATCATAGTGAGTTGGTCACCTCATCCTCAGAAATCCATTTTTTCAAATCCATCTCACCCATCCTCATCACTACCATCATAGAAAACAAGGTACTTTCTCCCTACCTGCTCATCTGATATATTTTCCTAGGAGAGTTTTCCTTTTTTGTGATGTGATCTCGCGCCGTAGGCACACCAGCCAGTCGCCGGAGACGCTGCAAACAGGCTGGTTTATTTGAACGGCAGATTGTGTGTGCAATCGTCCTTCCCAGAAGAAACCTATCAAGGTCCTAATCCCCATTTTCCCAACCTCCCCCATTTAGTTGTTCCTCTTAATGCACCACTCCGCCTTCTAGTACGCCTTTCCCTTCCATTTTCCCAATACTCCTTTGCCTTTTCTGTATTTTTGATTCTCCAGTCATTCAACATTTTTAATAATTTGTTTGATTTTTCCCCATGAACATTCATAAAGTTCAGTTTGCCTACCGTGAAGGCGCTAATAGACCCCCCCCCCCTCCCATACACTTGCACTTTGAGCTCTTTATTTCGGTTGCTGTGCAAGCTATCAAAAAATTGCTAACTGATAAAATATTTATCAGTCTATAACCAATATTTCATTAGTTGACACTTTTCTGATATATCTCATAGGAAACAAGATAATTGAGCACGAAGTTAACAGCTTTGGTGGGCGTCTTCCTCTTTTAGAGCATTTCCAGCAAGCCAACTTTAAACTCCTACAAAAGTTGTTTATTCTTTTCAGATTTTTCTGAAATTGTCAGACTATACTAACAAAGACTAGATCTTTAATTTTGTAGTTGATCATTTTTCTGTAAAATAGCGTCAAAAGAAGATAGGTCCTTTTTCCCCACAAGGCAGGAATTTTTCCAACAAACAGGGTTGTTAACTTTGAGCCAATTTATCTCGGATCCTGTAAGAGGTACTAAAAAAATTGCAACTAATACAAGGTTTTTGATATCTTGATAAACATTTTATCAGCTGACTACTTTTTGATATCTGTAACAGGAAATGAGATATACAAACTTAAATCTTTAAAAACCTGTAAATTTAAGCTAGATTTGCTGGTTTTTAGGACCATTTTCCTCTAAATTGCTCTTTTTTCCTCAAATATTATAATACCTAGATTCTGAGCCTCTAATAATCACCCATGTCCTAGCTGGCCCTGTCCACGGGTTCTTTGCACACATTCTACGGACCACCAAGACAAAGTGTGTCTGCGTCTCTCCATTCCCCACACTCTCTCACTATCTAGTTTCCCTTGCTGCTTCCCAGACATGTGATGAGAGAGAGAGAGAGTGCACCCGTGCCTTTCTCCTCCTCCTCCCATTGATTCCATTTTCTCTGCGTCTCTCACCACTCGCCTACTATTTCTCACCGTCTCGTCGTCTCTCGCCACCCTCTTCATTTCGTGTACTCTCTCGACCCCCTCGGCCCGAAGGTTTTTGTGTCTCTTTTCAGTCTTTTGAGACCTCGAGACAACCGGGGAGAGAGGTCTCCCTCCTGTATTATTTTTTTTGATTTTCTTCGATTTTTATTCATGTTCAAAAAAATCAATTAGAATTTTTTCCCGATTTTTCTAGTTTCAAAAAGATGATATTCAATAGGAAATTGACTTTCTAATCCCAGGAAATCAATAGAAACCAAAATTCTGAATCAATGAAAATTGGAAAAAAAGGGGTTTTAAATCAAAAAAAATTGTGGTCCAAATTTTTTTGAAATTTTCGAAAAATTCAGACTTTCAGTATTTTTCAAGTTTTCCAGACATTTTACTGATTATCTGGATTTTTGAGATTTCTAGGCCGTTTTGGGTTTTCTTGGTCATTTTGGATTTTCTTGGTCATTTTGAATTCCTAGGCAAATTTGAGTTTTTATGTCATATTGAGTATTCTAGGCCATTTACGGTTTTCTAGGCCATTTCGGATTCCTAGCCCATTTTTAGTTTTCTAGGTCATTTTCAGTTTTCTAGCCAATTTCGTGCTTTTTAGGATAATTTTAAGTTTCCTAGGCCATTTCGAGTTTTCTAGACCATTTTGGAAAACTCAAAATGACCTAGGAATCTAAAATGGCTTAAAAATTCAAAATGGCCTAGGAACCGAAAATGGACTATAAGACTCAAATTGGCCTAGAAAACTCAAAATAGCCTAGAAAATTCAAAGTGGCCTAGAAAGCTAAAAATGGCCTAGAAAACTCAAAACGACCTGGAAAACTCAAAATGGTCTAGAAGCTTTCTGGGTCATTTTAGATTCCTAGGCCATTTTCAGTTTTCCAGGCCATTTTGAGTTTCCTATGCTGTTTTGAGGTTTCTAGGCCATTTTCAGCTTTCTAGGTCATTTTCAGCTTTCTAGGTCATTTTGAATTCCTAGGCAAATTTGAGTTTTTAGGTCATATTGAGTTTTCTAGGCCAGTTTTGAGTTTTCCAGACCATTTTAAATTCCTAGGCCATTTTGAGATTTCTAGGCCATTTTCGATTTCTAGGCCATTTTGGATTCCTATGCCATTTTCGGTTTCTAGGCCAATTTTGATTTTTTAGCCTATTTTGAATTCATAGGCCTATTTAAGTTTTCTAGGCCAATTTCGAGACTAGTGGCCTAGAAAACTCTAAATGGCCTAGGAATCCAGAAAAGCAAAAATTTCAAAATGTTCTTATCTCATTTTTTCTTTCAAAATTTTCTCACTCTAATTTCTATTTCACAATCCCCTTCTTTTCCTTTTTTATTTTTTTCTTTTCTTCAAAAATTATTTTTTTTCAGGTGTATGGCATGAATATCCGTCAGAATGAGCTGCGACTGGTAAGCCATTTTTTGAAAATTTGGAAAGAAAAAATAATTTCAAATTCGTTCTACTGGACTATCCCTGATTTTGGGGTTTTAGTGGTCCAAAAGCAGTCCAAAAGGGCGAATTTGCATTTTGACGTTTTTCGGGGTCAAATTTTCTGTAGATTTCGAATTTTTGCTGTTTTCTGAAGTCAAATTTTCTCTAGATTTCCAAATTTTCACATCGCCGAAATCCTAAACATTCCAATTTGCAGACGGTGGAACTTCGGCAGGTGACCGATGCGGTGGAATGCGTCTTCCATTCTCTCCTATTGCACAGAACATTAGGCAGAGTGAGTCCAAAATCGAATGATCCGAAACGCCCGGTAAAACGCTTTTCCTTTGTTTTCCCAAAAATTTCGAAAAAATTGAAAATTCCAAAAAAGCCAGGGCAAGTTTTTATAGTGTTTGTGGTTTGTGTGTTAGATGGATTAGGTTTTTTGTGTTGTTTTGGGTCTCTAGGCCTTTTTGAATTTCTAGGCCATGTTGAGTTTGTTAGGCCATTTTTAATTTTTAGGTATATTTGGGGGGTTTAGGCCATTTTGGGGTTTCTAGGCCATGTTGGGTTTTCTAGGTCGCAATCGGTTTCTTGGGTCATTTCAGGATTTTCAGAAAATTTTGAGTTTTCTAGGCCATTTCGGGTTTTCTAGGTCATTTTGCCTTGACTTGCTGGCCTAGAATCCGACAAGCTAAGACTTTCTAGGCGATCAGTCTCAAATTGGCCTAGTAACACCAACTAGATTAGGGGTTCCCTTGATTTTGCTGTCGATGGCCTAGAATCCGACAAGCTGAGAATTCTAGATCATCTTCAGGCGATTTTCCAGTTTTAGCCCAACCAGAAGGGAAACTAGTTTTATTATCTCACCTAGAATCCGAAAAGGGGAGATTTCTAGGCCACCAGCTAACTCCAATTGTTTTCAACTTGGCTCCTAATGGCCTAGCTTTCCGCATTTTTCTAGGCCACCAGCTTTGTCAAATTCCTCGGAAGGTTAGAATCACGATATTTGAGTTCCATGACCTAGTTTTCCAGATTTTTGGGTTTCTAGGCCACCATAGATTCGGTTCAAAGCACACATTTGTATAATGCAAAATGCATCTCTCTCCTCCAGCAATCACTGTGCTTAATTTGATAAGATAACATATTACATAAAAAATAATTCTCTCTCTCTCTCTCTCTCTCTCTCTCTCTCTCTCTCTCTCTCTTTCTCTATCTATCTCTCCAACATCATAAGAGAGGAGTCCCGTGCCATTGGAAAAGAAGAAGACTGTGTTGATTCTTCCATATGACCCCGACGAGAGACTGAGAAAGTGGGAAGAGAAGAGAGACGCAGAGAAGCAGACAGTTAGAATGACTTTTTGCGCCGCTTCGCTTCTTCACGTGATCCTTGTCTTGTTCTTCGTCGCCTCGTTTTTTCCTCCTCCATTGGTATAGTTGAAGGAGAGGGGAGAGGAATTGAAGAATTGGGCAAAGATCAGAGAGTATCGGAAAGATGGGAGAGGAAAGGTTGAAAGAACAACCAGGGAAGAAATTGGAGAATTCTGAATTCTGTGGAAGTAGAAAATTCAAATTCATCTAGCCCAGAACTACACCAAAGGGATTGCAAATCCAAGAAGAAGGATTCAAAACGGAGCCGAACTTCCCTGGTCCATTCTAAGACCCTATCCCTTATTTGAACCATACAAAGGCGAAAAATGCCGGATTGGAACCTCACTAAACCTCAGGATCCCAGCTCCGTAGTAATCTAATCCTCATCAGGACGTGGCAAGGATCCACATAGATGGTCTAGGATCATTCTGAACTACTGTAGATTACCTAGCTTTCCCCGTTTCGCATGTTTCTAGGAACTAATAGCTTTAAGATCGGAAATTTTCAAGATTAGAAAACGCCAAAACCTTTAATTTAGATTGTCAACAAATTGTGCTCATTTTTCTCTATATTTTGATAGTTTTAAGGGACTTCTGAAACCGTAATGAGCTAAATTACAGGCGTTTGAAAAATTGGTATCCCGTATTTTCTCTAGATAATTCAAGTCCGTCAACTTTGAGCTCAATTATCTTGATTCCTATTGAAGCTACAAAAATTTCGCAAACTGCTAAATTGTTTATCATAATATCAACAATATTTTATCAGTTGACAGATTTTTGATATTTTGCATAGGAACCGAGATAATTGAGTTCAAAGTCTGGCGATCAGCTGACTTGAGCTAACTTCATGATTTTTGGCGCTATCCAGTTTTAGGGTCATCCTAATGACGCAATGCTAACGTCTTTCTTCCCGACCCATCTCTCTCTCGCTTTCTCTTTCTTCTTCTACCCCCAGATGAAGATCATTATCGTGTTCCGTCGGTTCTTTTCTCTCCAAGGTTGTTGCATCATCTCAAGAGATTTCATCAGACGTTTGGAAAATGTCTTGAGAGATAGAGGGGTTGAAATCAAGCTACAAGAATTGATTCCCGACACAAAGTGCTTATGTATCATATGATACAATGACCAAATAGACGGTGGATGATAACGGGGGGAAAAAAGAATGTGATACTTTAAAAATCATATGGGATCAAAAATGGGGAACATTTGAGAGAAAGGACAATTTCAGGAGGAAAATTTGACACCTAAACGCTTATATTGGGCTCTAGCGCTATCAAAACTTGGGAGCAGATTGATGTTAACAATATCTAAAAAGTTTAGCTTCAAACCCTCTAATTCAACCCGCTTAAAGGTGGGGGGACATCAAAAAAATAATGTTCTCGAAATTCCGTTCAAAGATGCCCCTCGAGGAGTTGAACTTGTGAGGGCGATGATTGAGGGTGCGGCGCCGCTACCGACTGAGCTACACGGGCAAAGAGAAAGCGGTCGCCCGATTGCATACATAAAGGCGAAAACGACAGCTGTACGCAGAGTGACATTAAGCGTTGTACACCGTGACGGTTGAATGCATACTCTAGCTACAAAAAAACTACGAAAAATCTCCTGTCCCCCCACCTTTAACTCCATCTAAACCACCGTGCTTCCCATAATAGAAGCCAACTCAAACCGTTAACTTTGAGCTTAATTATCTCGGTCCCTATGAAAGATATCTGAAATTTGCCAACTATGAAAATGTTTATCATAATAGCAGCAATATTTCATCAATTGACAATTTCTTGATATCTCTCATAGGAACCAAGATAATTAAGCTCAGAATGGGCACGTCCTTTCTCGCTTCCAAACGCTTTACCAACCTGTCCCGTGGAGCGAGCTTGCTTTTCTTCTCCTAACCCAAGCTTTTGTTTTTTCTTTTTTTGTCAAACCTTTTGTTGCTTCTTTTTAATCCAAAAATAACTTTCAAAATTGCAAATTCTTCTTCATCTCCCTGCTAATTTTCAGTTCCAATACAACGATGAGAAAACGTTCTCAATCGGATCCATCGGCATTCAGGAGGTCAATTGTGAGCAGATCGACATGACTTATGTGAGTTTTTTGGCTCTAAAACGGGCTACAAGGTTTATAGAAGACGTTGGAGGATTCTAGAAGCTTCTAGAGTATTCAGAAGCCTTCAGACTATCCTAGAGGACTCTGGAAGACTCTGAAGTAGGCTACAGGACTTTTAGAAGACACGGAAGGATTCAAATGAGGCATTCTAGAGCTTTCTAGACTATACCAAACGATACTGAACGATTTTAGACGATTCTAGACCTCTTCCAAACCATTAAAAACCATTCTAAACGATTCTAGGCGATTCTAGACGACTCTAGATCATTCTATAAGCGTAACCGTAACCTTCTATCGTACTGATAAGCCATCACCACCACTCGTAAGCAGGTTAATATGACCGGATATCACCTCCTACACCTTATCTATCTCTTCTCAAAGTCATCAAAACAATTGTGAAGTATTTAGTAGCCCCCACTCCCTTTTCTCTCTCTCTCTCTCTCTCTCTCTCTCTCTTTATCTCTAGATGTTGAGAAATTGAACACAAACAGTCACAGTCAGTGGCTATTGACACACAAAAGCACATAAAGAAGAACGAAATGAAAAACTAGTCGATGTGTAGGGATCGTAAAGTTCGCTCTATTGAGAATCTAGACTAAACAATCTAGACTAAACAATCAGCTAGTTACAGTAAGAAAACTCGCTCTATTGAAAACCAGGAGCATCTAGGTAAGCAATTGCGCTCTACTTAACACAACAGTAGTTAAAGAGCTAGCTAGACGAACAAGAAACTAGTTACAGTAAGAAAACTTGCTCTATTCAGAATCAGAAACCTCTAGCTAGACAAGTGCGCTCTACTAAACTCAAAACTAGTCTAATAGTTAGCTAGGCAAGTGCGCTCCACTGGACTAGATCTCAAGAACCATCACAAAACAACAATACAATTACCTTGAATTATTTATATTTGTTCCATTTCAAATGTTGTGTTTTTTAAATGACGATGACTTTTTTTCGAAAAACACCACTTGCTTTTGTTTACCCCCTCCAATTTTTTGGTTTTTGAGATTTTGAAAGTTCTAGTGCGTCTAGCTGTCTGCGTCTCCTTGATGCTCTACACTCTCTCGCGCTGGTCATTTTAGGAGCTTTTACTTATTCGAGGAGGTGACCACCAGGTTTCGAGCATCATCCACTACAAATAGAAAGAAAGAGAGAGAGAGAGAGAGAGAGAGAGAGAGAGAGAGAAAGAGAGAGAGAGAGAGA